GTTTCCATGGCGGGGCACGACCCCGCTATCGGCACACGGTGCCCCTCCACAGCGCCTCCACCGTGACGCCTCAGCTTGCATCACCATCAGAGGTTTGACCACATCACCAGACGACGTGGAACACCTCACCAGATCGATCAGTGCACCAGACCAGATGAGTCAGTCCACTAGACTAACCCGAGACTCGGAAGCGTGCCAGCCTGCGATTCCAGTGCTTTCTGGAAGCAAAAGCACCAGGCTTCCAAGCAACGGGTCCGTAACGGCAACCGCCTAGGGGAGTGCGATATGCCCGGCTGCTCAGGGCCGCCTTACGGGCAATGGAGACTCTAATCTGGGTCTATGTATCTGGAGGTGTGCGTAGTTGTAGTTGCAGAGCTCGATGCTTCGTCTGTGTTTTGCAAGATAACCGCGTACAAGGCACGCCACTGCAACGAGCAATGCATGCTCTCTGCCTCGTTGACTTGAACAACAGGCTGTTTAGGTTGTAGTGTGTTGTGATTCCCGTGCACTGGACCCCTCTGGACACTGGCAGATTTTCCGGGTCAGTGGCCTCAGGGCCTCGGGCCTGGGGCAGACGCGAGACCTCCACTGGAAGGTGCGAGACGCCAGGCAGCGCTCCTTCTTCAACGCGTCCAGGCTTGCAACAAACAAAACTTGAACGCGACCAAATTCTCCCCTCTTGGAGGCTGCCCAACACAACTCTCTCAACACCACATCCCATCACACTCGGTACCAGCAACCTGCAGAGTATCACCAGTCGCGATGAATGGCCCTCCTGGAGGCGATTCCGGGAGCGGCCGCAGGTGGTTAGACTCCTTGCGAAGAGTGAACGTCAACGACTCTGCATCAACATACGAACTTTCTTAGCCGGACATTGAGGCATCCGATAGCGACTGGCAGCCTTCGATCAAAGCTAAGAAGCTCGATGAGCCTACGCCTACAGAAAAGCCCAACGAGCCCTCGACATCAGACGCCGAATGCAGCGTCTACGACTCTGACGAAGACGGCAACACGAAAGAGGTTCATCGCACCCTAAACTCCGACAAGGTGCCTTGGAACCCCCAGGAGGTTCGCAAATGCGTTCGGTCCGAATTCGCCCACCCCGGCAGCAGTTGGAAGAGTCCGAGATTCCAAGCTCTTCCTCCCGCCAAAGCCGCCGAGTCTAGGCTTGCAGGCACTGCTGCTCAACAACGCTTTACCAATGTCTACTTTGTCCGCGTCGTTCAGAATACGGCCAATGTGAAGAAGGTCCATCCGCAGCGCCTCTCACAGTACCTCGCGGCCGAAATCACGGCCCAGCTTACGACTTGCGCTGGCTACGACAGGTTCTGGGCTGCGTCACACGACTTGGAGGAATATATTCGACAGGCAATCTGGCCTCAGATCATGCACATCGATGCCGTGCAACATACACAAGGACTTGGAAGCGATGTCGTGACTCTGGCAAAAGCCATTCCTCCTCCTACCGCGGCTGGCTTCAACAATGATCGGTTTTGGGGCTACTCGGTCTACATGGCGCTGAGGTTCCCTCCCGGCTCCCACCCCTTCACTACTCCAGTGGTCCGAAATACGATTGCCTACTTTAGGCGATGCATCATTGACGGCCGAGATCCGTGGGGCTCTGACTACGCAAACATCGACACCCAGATGGCTCTGGCAGCGTCGTGGGCCGGCTACAACATTGCCCACTTGTTGATCAACCACAACGCGTACGACCTCACCCCAGAGGAGATGCAAGTACAGAGGCGCCAGCTCGATACGCTCGTGTGGCTGGTTTCGGGCGCTCATGGCCTTGTCGGAGAACTCTTCAGGGGTGTGATCACAGCGCGGGGAAACGTCGATACGGCAGCTACCACGTCTCATCTGCAAGAGGAGATGCACCGTATGCAATGGGATCGTTTCGTCGGGAACTGTCACCGAGTCGCCTACAACTGGGAGAACTCGCTCCCACTGCCGCTCTGCAAACCCAGCCGCATCTTCGAGGAAATGAAGGCATCTGGAGCTATCGAAGACTGGGACAACTCTGCGCCGTTCAGCACCGAGTTCGACGAGCCCCTGGACCCCTCGGTACACAAGATGAAGGGATCGGGCCTGGTTCTTTCAAAGATCGTGTCTGAGAAGGTTAGCCGGGTCAACAAGTGGCTATTGGATTTCCTTCGGGGAGAACATTCTCTTCAGGTGACGAAGGACCGGTTCAGCTACATGCCGGAGTACCTCAGCCATGGCCTTGACGATCACGAGTATCTCCAGGAAGTCCGTGACTTGGGCCGACAAGACATCCGCGCCGCTTCGGAAGCCAGGGAGCCGCTACAGGAAGCCGCTCCGAATATCGACTCGCCACTGCAGCATGAGATCTCCGAGCTCAAGGCCTCTATTGTCAACATCGAGAAGATCGTCAAGGAGGTCCAGACGGCAGTGACGGGCCACACGACGGCTATTGATGGTATCCGTCATGATCTTGCACAGCAAAACCCCGACAACTTGGCTCGTCTGCTTGCTCCAGCGCTGCTCAAGACACTTGAGCCCGCACTCATCAAGTCTTTGGAAAGGGCTCAGCAAAAAGTGCTCAAGGATTCGATGAAACGTCACGCCTCGGAGACCATCAAGCAGGTCCAGAAGCTGATGGGACCCTTGCACGAGAAACTCGACAAGATCGAGGCCAAGACCCTGGCCGACCGTCAACCCTCCAGGCTGCCGCCACTCGGACGAGGAGAGATCGCAACGCGGCGCACACAGGGCGCTACCACCACTGTCGAGGCAGAGGACCGATCGGCTGGCCGTTCCAGGATGCAGCGGGATGAAGATGACGGACCGCTGGCCAACTTTGAGCCACCCAATGTCAACCGAACGAAGCTACTATCGACCGGGTTTGTCGGCAACCCCATGGCTGAAGCCCGAAGCAGTATCGGATCGAGCACGGCGGGCACGAAGCGGGCATCCGAGAATGCCTCCCCTCAAGCGACGAAGCGGCCATACCAGCCATCTGCAGAGCGATCCTCTCAGACGACCAGCCAGGGTTGGATGGGTGGGCCGCCCTGAACAAATTTCGGAGTGGTGAAGAGTGTCAGGTTTGAGGAAAGATTGGGACGTGTAGTGTAGCTGATGTGCTTGGCGAAGGAGCCATGGAACGGGTTAGCTTTGATATGGAGGTCCAGCAGGTAGACCCCGATGAACTGGCTGATCTGGGACTCTGGTGAACTGGTGATGTGGTTCAATTGCTCGGGTGATGGTGATGTTTCCCAAGAAGCACAGTTATCGCTCACAGTGCGTTGACTGTGCTCACTAGCAGCCAAGGTCCTTCATCTTCATCAACTTCTCCGAACGCTGCCAGCATGTCCATTCGACGACACGGCCAGAGACTTGGGGCTTGGACGTCCGATCAGGGATATGCCAGCCTGACGATAAATGACACGACTGCGCCGACTCCAGTTGACTCGATTCCATTGGCCTCTGCGCTGTATCGGCATGGAATCCGGTTTACCCGGTCAGCAGTGTGTATTCTGCCTATACGAGTAGAAGCCCACTTGGCGGACGCTCCAGGGCTGCTTGACCCCGCGTCATGGCGATCAGCTGCCGCTTCTATTTCTTGAAGACAACTGACGCAACAGGACGCTCATAGATACCCAACTATCACCTTCTTCTCACCATGCCCACCCTGTCTCAACCCCGGGACGCCTGGTCCACCCCTCCCCCGTCCGAGGGACAGGCCCCGGCTCCCCTCACCGAAGAGCAAAAAGAGCACTTTATCAACAATGGCTGGCTCCGTCTGACCAACTGCTTCACCAGAGAGCAAGCGGAATGGGTTCGAAAAGACCTCTGGACCCGTCTCGGCATGGACCCTGACGACAAGTCCACCTGGAAAGAGCGCACCAACATGCCTTTCCAGCGCAGCTTTGACGCGGCCCTCCTGGCCCCCAAAGCCTGGTCTGCCATTACGGAACTCTGCGGTGGCGAGGATAGGATCACGGAGAACTCGCGCGAGTGGCGGGACGGCCTGATCGTCAATCTTGGAAAGCCCGAGTTTGAGGGCCAGGAGGCCCCTCACCCTAGGGACCTCGACAACTGGCACGTCGACGGCGATTTTTTCGTCCACTACCTCGACTCGCCCGAGCAAGCCCTCCTCGTCATTCCCCTCTACACCGACATTGCGTCGGGCGGCGGCGGCACGATGATCTGTCCCGAGGCCATGCCCAAGGTCGCCCAGCATCTCCACGACCACCCCGAGGGCGTGTCCCCGTACATGGTGCCCCGTGGCGAGCCCGAGTTTCCCAAAGAGGTCGGGCTCAACTTTTTCCTCAACACGGCCAGGAGCTGCAGCGAGTTTGTGGAGGTCACTGGCAGCGTGGGCGATGTCTTTCTCATGCACCCCCTGATGCTGCATTCGTTTTCTCCGAACCGTCTGCGCCATCTGCGGGTTATCACAAACCCGCCGGTGCACTTTCGCGAGCCGATGAGCTTTGATAGGGAGGATGGGAAGCATAGTCTGGTGGAGAGGGCGACACTCAGGGCGCTGGGGAAGGACAGGCTTCCGGGGTGGCAGATTACTTCACCCAGAGAGCAGAGGGTTCCGGCGAGGCTAAAGATTCAGGCAAAGATGAAGGAGGAGGAGATGAAGAGGTTGGGGAAGTCGGCGGGGGGCACTCCAGCTGCTTAGGTGGTTCTGAAATAGTGGAAAGAATCGATGTATTGCCCATCTATCTGTTACTGATATGAATGATAAGGCTTAAGCATGAGAGACGCCAAGATGTGCACAAATCTAGCATGTTGTAATTGCTAGAAGCCCGCCCTGAAGCAACTTTGCCGGACACTCCCAGGATGACCGGGAAATAGCCTGGGTAGAACATGTGCGAGAACCGGGCAGTCATTTAAACCCTCCCCGGATCGTCTAGCGCTCTACACGCTGAGGCAATTCAAAAAAAAAAAAAGAGAGGGCGTCGACACACAGGGGCGCGGGACAGGAAGCAAATTGCATTGACTACCTAGACTGGCAAAAACCGAGTTGTCTATATCAGGGATCGAACCTGAGACCTTTCGCGCTCTCATTAAATGTGAGGCGAACGTGATAACCGCTACACCATACAGACTCAGTTGGAGATTTCGAAAGAAAAGTTGACTATGTTGTCTAGTGTCAAGAGTTAGCAGCCAAGTCTTGTGTTTGCGTTGTTTGAGCTTAGCATCACCAGGCACGATCGATGGGACACAGGCTCAGAATTATGAGAGCTAATGTTTGGTGCTAATTACACTCTTGTCTTTTGGGGAGTGCGATACTTATGTCGCAGCCGATGAAGAAGCGCGCAGAGACCACTGCAGTACTCGAAGCCTTAACACCGACCACTCGATGAAAGTGGGCTATCAGCAAATGAAATCCAGGAATGGGCGTCCGAATGTGGACCTTCTTCAATGGAGCTTAGGAGCAGAGGCAACTCGGATCGACGGCCATGGCGGCGTCAGTCAATCTCCTTGTGACGGTCTGAATCGCTGACCTTGGACAATGTAGAACAAGGCGCCCATGATTGAAGATGCTGGAGCCGGTGGACGCTGGAGGGAAGTTGGAGGGAAGCCCGTGGTGAGGTTCGGGGAGTGGAGCGCCTCTGGCCGCCCGTGCGCATGACTGACATCACTGGACCCTTCGTCTGCCTTCCACCCCAAACCTCTCTCCCTTTCACCTCCACACTTCCACCACCACCACCATGAGCGACGACGACGAGATTGTCGTCGAAGGCCTCGACCTGGCCGAGGATGACCCCATGCGCGCCTTTATGCCAACGTCCTTTGGCAAGGCGTCCAAGGAGGCAAACATTGCAGCGCAGATTGAGAGGAGCAGGCGGACAGTCGACAAACCAGACGCAGCGCGCGCCAAAGACTCGGACGACGACAGCGACAGCGATGATGACGACGACGACGAATTTCCCACCTCGCACGAGCTGGTACTCAAGACACACGAACGGGCAGTAACAACAATATCGCTGGACCCTGCCGGCGGGCGTCTGGCGTCGGCTTCAATTGACGGCAAGATCAACCTGCACGACTTTGCGTCAATGACGCCGACGACACTACGGGCGTTCCGATCCGTCGATCCCTGGGAGGCGAAGAAGGCCTCTGCCAATTCCGAAACGCACCCGATCCACCGAATCGAGTTCAACCATTTGTCTGGCAGTGCCTTTCTCTGCATCACGGCGCACCCCCAGGCCAAGATCCTGAGCCGCGACGGCGAGGTTCTCACCGAGTTTGTCAAGGGCGACATGTACCTGCGGGATATGCACAACACCAAGGGCCACATCTCGGAGATCACCACGGGGACTTGGCACCCTACCGACAGAAACCTCTTCGTCACGGCCGGGACCGACAGCACGCTGCGGATATGGGACGTCAACAACAAGCGCAGTCAGAAGGAGGTCATTGTGTTCAAGTCCAAGGCGTCTGGCAATGCTGGCCGTACGCGCATGACGGCCGTGGCGTGGGGTGCGCCGGCAGCGGGGGGCAATAATGTGCTGGTCGCTGCGGCAGTGGACGGCTCGCTGGTGATGTACAGTGGGAATGGCCCATTTACAAGACCGGCAGCCGAGATTCGCGACGCACACAAGGCCGACACGTGGACCAGCGGGATTGATATCTCGGGCGATGGCAGAATGGTTGTTACTCGGGGCGGTGACGACACGATCAAGCTGTGGGATACGCGAAAATTCAAGAGCCCGCTCGTGACGGTTAGCCATCCGTCAACGTCGGACCACTACTCGACGACCAGCATTAAATATGCGCCCAACTCAACGAGTATCCTGACGGGCTCGGCCACTGGCCATCTGCACATTCTCAACCCCGGCAACCTGCAACCAGAGTACGTCACGCCCATCACGCCGGGCTCACCACTGATCACGGTCGACTGGCACCCCAAGATTAACCAAATCGTCACGGGGTCGGCCAATGGCGAGACTCATGTCCTCTTCAACCCAGACCGGTCAACCCGCGGCGCGGTCGAGGTCATGTCCAAGGCGCCAAAGATGCGCCACATTGACGACGACCCGTCTCGCACAACGGATCAGTCCCTCGGCCTCTCTGGCGACGCCATCATCACCCCTGGCGCCCTCGGCGGCAAGCGGGCAGCGGGCAAGTCGAAAGACCCCATGCGGCCCGAGGCGCAGCTGCAGACGCCGCTCTCGAGGAACGCCCCGGGGGAGAAGCACATTGCGGAGAACATCCCGCTGGCAACCATGCTCCACGAGGACCCGCGCGAGGCCCTGCTGAAATACGCAGAGGCCGCCAAGAAGGATCCCAAGTTTACCGGCGCATGGAGCACCACGCAGCCGGTGACGCAGTATGCGGAGTTGAGCGACGACGAGGGGCCAGACAAGAAGAAGGCGAGGAGGTAGACACAGTGTAGAACAATTGAAGCTCGAAGTGAATCACATTGGCCCATTGGCCCGTGCCGCCCCACTTCCATTCCGCTTACCTAAGCCCATGCCCCCGTGCTCAAACCTACCGTGGCACGCGTTTCCCAGCACCGCACCAACCATCCACTCCAATCTTGTCGTCCTCACACTTCCCATCATCACCGAGACCGCGCGCGCGCATCGAAAAATCGCCAGGACGGCTCCAACGCCATCGACACCCATCCCGTGGACCCATTTGCAACAATTTCCCGGCGGATTCCTCGCCCACCTCGCCCCCCGCGACCCCCCCGACGCGCCTTCCACGTTCGCTTTTCGAGTTTTCCAACTGCCACCTTTCGCCGTTTTGGGCCAGCGACACAACTCGCGACAACCATCGACGCGAGCCATCCCTGGGCACGGATAACGCGTTTCGGCATCACCACCGGGCGCAACGCACCTCGACCCGGTTTTGCCAATCGACCTCCCACTACCGACGCGCCGCATTGCGATATTATCGAGCCCTCCCTACGCGCAATCGCCCTGCACATTACATCGCACCTCCGACACCCCCCTGAGATGCAATCGAGGTAGCCGTCGCATCGCTTGGGACTTCTCTCGGCCGACACGGAATCATGGCTTCCGCCACACAGGGCCCCCCGGGGGTCCATCTGCCCGGCGCAGGCGGCGTGCCCGTCACGCTCACCCAGCAGCAGGCGCAAGAGATGCTATCGGTAGGTGCCTTGGTGGTAGTGGCATGACACAAGCTAATGTCGCGCAGAAACTCAAGCAGATGAGGGATAACGGTATCCCCCAAACCGACCCCGAGTACAAGCAGACGCACCAGGTGCTTCTTCAATTCCAGCAACACGCGAATCAGATGCGGCAGAGGCAGCAGCAATGGCAGGCGCAACAGCAGCAGAAGCAGCAGGCGCAGCAGCAGCAGGCACAGGCACAGGGGCAGCAGCAGCAGCAGCCTCCTCAGGCACAGCCCCCACAACCCAATGGCAATGCCGTCAACGGCGCACAACCCGCTGCTGCACCGGCGGCAGCACCCGCCCCCCCGAACCACTTCAACGCGTCGCAGTTGTCCATGCTCCGCTCCCAGATCCAGGCCTTCAAGCTCTTGTCGAAGAATGCCGGCGTTCCTCAGCAGGTGCAGCAGATAATCTTTGCGCAGCGCGAGCAGAGGAAGGCCATGGCCGCCAAGGCAGCATTGATGGCCGCTTCGTCTACGGTCTCGACCCCCGCCGTCACCGACAAGCCCCAGACCAACGGAACGCCCCAGCCGGCCGATCCCGCGTCGACTCTCCCCCTTGGCCCCGTGTTCAACTCGGTGCAGGCGCCGTACAACAGCCTTCGCCCGCAGAAGAAGGAGATTTCCTACTTTGAACACAAGCTGCGCGCCAACCGGAAGATCATCCCGGGTATCTTGCCCGTCGGCATTGATGCCGAGGAGCTGCGCCACCAGCGCGACAGGAGCATCAAGAACCGCATGGCCGCAAGGTACCAGGAGCTCAAGAACCTCCCCGTCAACCTCGCCCACTGGGACTCGAGCAACCCAGAGGTCGTTGTGGACGACTCGGTGAGACTCCGAAACATCATCGAGTTCAAGATGCTCGGGCTCTACCAGAAGCAGACGCTGCTGCGGGAAAAGATTGGCCGGCAAATGATGACATACGATAACCTCGCCATGACAACAAACCGGAGCAGCTACCGTCGCGCCAAGAAGATGACGGTCCGCGAGGCCCGCATCACCGAGAAGCTGGAGAAGCAGCAGCGCGATGCCCGCGAAAACCGCGAGAAGAAGCGCCACGTCGACTTCCTCCAGGCCGTTGTCCAGCGCCGGAGCGAGCTCTTCAAGCAGACGGACCGCGAAAAGGCCGGCGCCGCCAAGCTCGGCAGGATCATGCTGCTCCAGCACCAGAACATTGAAAAGGAGGAGCAGAAGCGCATCGAGCGCACCGCCAAGCAGCGTCTCCAGGCGCTCAAGGCCAACGACGAGGAGGCCTACCTCAAGCTGCTCGACCAGGCCAAGGACACTCGTATCACCCATCTGCTCAGGCAGACCGATGGCTTCCTGCACCAGCTTGCCGCGTCCGTCAAGTCCCAGCAGAGACGCGCCGCCGAAAACTACGGCGACGGCGAGTTCCCTGTGGAGGAAGAAGAAGAGGAGATTGAGACGGAGGACGAAGAGGCCGTCCGCAAGATTGATTACTACGCCGTCGCCCATCGCATCAAGGAGGAGGTCACGGAGCAGGCCAACATTCTCGTCGGCGGCACCCTCAAGGAGTACCAGATCAAGGGCCTGCAGTGGATGATTTCGCTCTACAACAACAACCTCAACGGTATTCTGGCAGACGAGATGGGTCTCGGCAAGACCATCCAGACCATCAGTCTGATCACCTACCTGATTGAGCGCAAGAAGCAGGACGGCCCGTACTTGGTCATTGTGCCCCTGAGTACTTTGACCAACTGGAACCTCGAGTTTGAAAAGTGGGCGCCCTCCGTTTCCAAGGTCGTCTACAAGGGCCCCCCCAACACGCGAAAGCTGCAGCAGGAAAAGATCCGCCAGGGCCGCTTCCAGGTGCTCCTCACCACCTACGAGTACATCATCAAGGATCGCCCGATTCTCAGCAAGATCAAGTGGTTCCACATGATCATCGACGAGGGTCACCGCATGAAGAACCAAAACTCCAAGCTGTCCTACACCATCCAGC